CAAATCAAGCTACTATCATTACTCTCCCTATAGAATCACCACACACACAATTCCTAACTAAAGAAGAAATCCCACCTATTAAACTCCGTACATTTAGCTATATATCTCAAAATCACTCTCTCAAAATTACATCTTAAAACAATCTCTCTCCCCCTTTGGGTGTGTTGCGAATTATAATTTCGCGAAAACTTCTATCTAAAACAATAAGAAGGAAAATTTATAAAAACTAATTAATCATTTTTCAATTGTAACTAATTTCATAATATCATATAAAATTAGTTTCTTAAGATTTAAAACCAATAAAGACAATCCCATAATATCATAAACAATCTCTCCTTAAATCTAGTTTCTTAAGATTTATTACTCATGTGATTCTAAGTAAATTTGTGAACACTTCCAATTCCTAACACATGATTTTTTCTTAGACACGCCCAATCCTCACTTATATAAATTCAATTCCAATAAACAAAATTATTCATTGTCATTGCTATCATTGTCGACTACTTTCTGTTAATCAATTCCTCCGATCTTCCTTATTATAAGTTTCTTCTCTCCATCTACTGCTCTGTTTATTAATACTACGTTTGCGAAAAATAAAGGCTTATTAATCCTTCTACTGTATTCCAAACAATTCGAATATCAACTAGAAAACCTTTCACGACAGAAGACATTTTGATTAATTCATTAACTCATTCCATTTCTCTGCAGATATAACAATATCACTAGAAGACATTTTGATTACTTCATTAACTCATACCATTTCTCTACCAAGATAACAAGATCAATAGAATTCATTTTAATTAATTCATTAACTCATACCATTCCTCCGCAGATAAAACAATATCACTAGAAGTTATTTTGATTAATTCATTAACTCTTACCATTTCTCTACACATATAACAACATCACTAGAAGATATTTTGGTTAATTCATTAACTGATACCATTTCTTGCCGATATAATAATATCATCAGAAGACATTTTGATTAATTCATTAACTCATTCCATTTCTCAACAGATACAACAATATCACTAGAAGATATTATGATTAATTCATTAACTGACACCATTTCCTACCGATATAATAATATCATCAGAAGACATTTTTAAAAGAAATAATAATAATATAATTAGAAGACTTCTAATGATATTATTATATCGGTAGGAAATGGTGTCGGTTAATGAATTAACCAAAATGTCTTCTAGTGATGTTGTTATATGTGTAGAGAAATGGTATGAGTTAATGAATTAATCAAAATGTCTTCCAGTGATATTGTTTTATCTGTAGAGAAATGTTATGATTTAATGAATTAATCAAAACATCTTCTAGTGATCTTGTTATCTTGGTAGAGAAATGGTATGAGTTAATGAATTAATCAAAATGTCTTCCAGTGATATTGTTTTATCTGTAGAGAAATGTTATGATTTAATGAATTAATCAAAACATCTTCTAGTGATCTTGTTATCTTGGTAGAGAAATGGTATGAGTTAATGATTTTAATTAAGTTTATACAAATTTCTTCATTGCTTCTACTATTACTATTTAAATATGATAATTCTATTAAAACTATTCCCTTGTAAATAATTACTTTGCCTAGGAAAGAATTGGTGAAATAATCAGTCCTTCTGCGATATTTCCAAGTTATAAAACTAATATGCAATTTATTATAAATTATTAAATCTTCCTTGTAACTCAAAATAAATTCACTATCGTATGTTCTTCAAGTAGGATTTTCGGAAATTAGGAAGGAAAGATTATCAGCCATCGAGTGAAAGGTGTTTAAAAAAAATTTTTTCTGAATGGAACAACTAACCATATAGAACTTTGTTGAACAAAAAATGAAATCAAAAATTTAACGCAGAAAATTTTGATATAAATTCCAAAATTCCAATTTAGGCAATGTTAGATTTTTCATATCTCAATATTAGAAAACAGAAATAATGACGAAATATATCTTCAATTCAAATATTTAAAAATAAAAAAGAATTTTAGAACTTAATTGGATCGCTGAAAACTATTCCATATTTCATTGTAAATGCTATGTATCGAATAATGAAATAAATTTTATCAAATAAATCTCTTGCTTACATGTTACTTTAACTTTTCCAAACAATCAGTAATTATTGTTGTAGCAAAAAAAAAAAAAAAAGAAAGAAAACGCAACATAGAGTTTTCCTTCTAAATTTCACTGTAGTAGAACAAAATTAATTTAAAAATTATGATATTTTTGTCATCTATTCCTGAAATAATGCATACAAAATAGTCCAACAAATTTTTTGATGCTTTTTAAGTTTAAGATCGATTGCTATTCACAACCTTTCACTGATTATTCATTTCTTTGTGCTCTTTTTACATACGTAATAATATTACTTTTTTCAGATGTTTTATATTGTTTTCCGGTTTCCGAATCTGTGGGATACATTAAAACTAAGAATTTTAAAATCTGCTATATATATGTAAAACAAAAATGTTCCCTACTGCTTCCATGTTCCGATTTCTGAAGATTTTCAAATAAGAAATTTTTTAAATAGAAGAAGTTCAAACAATACAACTAACAACTCAAATTAACCCTTGCATCATTGAAATGCTTTTGTGTATCTCTTATCAAATTATCAATGTTAAAATATCACTAGTGGTTCTTTCCGTATTCTTCATGTAACAACACTAATTGATTTCGAGATAATACGATGACGATGATATTATAAGCGCCTTATGAAGTTTAAGAAATGCTCAAAACTTAAGTATTAAGAATTAAATCATTAACTAATTTCGTATTTTGCAAGAATTCCAAGTGATAAAAAAATCCACAGTTTTCAGAGACTTCCCGAGATTATTCTAACTGAAACCAATTGGATTCCAGCATTTCATCCCGACGAGCTTAAAGATTATAACTTATATTTCTATTGATTAGCAACTGAAAACCGTTCGACACGTCATCAATTTCATTTCTTTTATTATCGTTCATGGACGAAAAACACTTCAAAATAAGAATATAAATAGAAGGAAAAACTGCAACCAATAAGGAGCATGAACAATTACAATTAAATTGGAAAAACATTTTAACACGGTTTGGGGAGAGGGAGGAGGGTGGAAACAAACGAGTGAAGAGCAGAAAAATTTTTTAAAAAAATTGAAAAAAAAATTAGATATAGAACATAAAAGGTATGCAGTGGATAAATTAATTAAAAGATAACACCTAACAATATGCAGAAAATGTAACTTCCAAAAAAACTAAAAGAATATAAAAACAACTAGGAGAAAAATAAAAGAAACATCGTCAAAAAGTTCAACATTTAAGGAGGCTATCATGAAGAAAAATATTTATGCAAATGATATAGCATAAATAATCAATGAGCTCCCTGTGAATTGCATAAAACCTGAAGGGAAAGAGGGAAAGAAAAGTGAAAGGAATTTACGGCGTTATGAGAAAAAAAATAATTTAAGGTGAGATTGAAAGAAAGAGGAAAAGAAAAAAAGGATTTGTAATTAGAGATAAATACTAGGAAAAAAAATGATGTTAATAAATTGAACAAAGTCCTGACTTCTTCGAGAAGTGAACAACACAGTGTCGTACATATGAAATTAACAAAATAAGCCAACCAATAGAAAACACAAGTGAAAATGAACAATCAGACACATAACACATGTCCCACCATACATAGGCGTTCGCATTTTTTAAGAAAAAAATTTTTTGCACTATTAAAATGGTAATCAGTAAATGGTTGAAAAGAAATTTGTGTGTAAAAAAAAGCATAGAGGGAAGGAAAACAAGAGCAAATAACAGCAACACCCGTATAGCTTTGAAAAATGGATTTTTGATCATAATTACGATATCGTTATACATCAATCAGTAGCATGTTGTATGACGTATAATGCACATATATATATATATAGTTTTACCAGAACAGGTCAATCATCAGAAAGAAAAAATCCTTTTTCATATTCTCTTCTTTTACTAGTGATAATCTTCATGTATAGTACTTATGGAGATGTCTCAGAGAGGAAAAAAAGGACCAAAAAAGTCAGCAAAACAAAATACGCCCAAAATCATGATTCTCTATCAATAGAATTATTATCATCTGCAACAGTCATCAATTAATGATGAAAATAATTCATTTTACTTCACGGATGTATGAAGATGATCAGAAGGCAACAGCAATTAACAACGTCAATTAACAACGTAGTGTCAAAACAATCATTTGAATAATCAACATATCGGTGATAACATTTTATCGTCATAAATCCAACAAGACATCTATACGGGCAGTGAAAATGCTATTGAAATCATGATTGAAAAATTCGAAAATAACTCAACTATCATCAAATATAATAATATATTGGAAATACATTAGCAACACAAGCAATTTTAGCTTCGCAAAACAAAAAATTATTATGTAAAATCCACCAAATAATCTAAAAGAAAAAACAACGGGGAGATGAAAAAATAAAAAAACAATTTGAACAACGCATTTTGCGAGAATTATTGAATACAAAGCAGTATAGCAATAGCATTTTTTTCAAGAAAAAAAAAGCATAGGGAGATCTGAATATTCGAAACATATTTCCTCAGCCACAATAATAATAGAAAGAAAAAAAGAAACGAACCACCAAGTGATGAAAAGGATAACCATGTGTCCACGATAACCAAAAGAAACAAAGCAGAAGTGGCCTAAATTCTATTACGAACTAAAATTGAATATTGTCCAAGTAATCTATCCAAAACAGCTATTCTTATATGCAAAAATTAACATAAAAGAGCCCAAACTTCTGTCTGTTAATTATTGGCATATACCACTAAAGAAATGGTATGAAAAGAACTACAAAGCGAACACCGCATTAAAATTATATATTATCCAACAGCAAACACTGTGCTGTACTTCTCGAAGAATTGACGACCTGTTCCGATTTAAAAGTGTCAAACAAGAGGAATTTAAGGAAAAGAAAGAAGAAATAATAAAGTAAAAAAAAATGCCAACTTTCAATTTGCATCATTTACTGCTTTAATATTGTTGTTGGAATTGATAACCACCCTGAGGCTGTGCTTGCGGTGTTCCGTAACTGAACTGATTTTGTGCTGTAATTGGCTGAGCACCATAAGCGCCATATCCCTACAAACAATGTGGTTTAATTATAATATGACATACAGTTGATAAAAATTCCCATTTTTATTCCACTTACAATGTTTCCAAAGAATTTTCCTACAAAAAAAATGGCAATCTATATTTCTTTCATGAACCACAGAAAAAAATATTTGGAAAACTTACCGGTTGTTGAGGTCTTGCTTGTACAGCTGGTTGTTGCGCAGCAACAGCAGCAGCAGCAGCAGCAGCATTTTGCTTCAGCTGATTTTCGATAACGGCTGCCTGTTCATGCATACCCATGCTACGATAATATTCTGCCCACTGTGCACTATAATCAGGTTGACCTGAAAAATAATGGATGTAATGAAATGTACAGCTTAAAACTTTCAAATACTTTGAACAGACTTCAGCGAAATAACGAAAAATATCCTTAGTACTCTCCTTCAATAATCCTCATAAAATTTTGAAATTTATGAACGAAATTAACAATGGGTGTATTAGATAGCATAAGTCAAATGTGCTATCACAAAGATGTTGCTAAAATTATTACAATTAGGAGACATTTCCATATCAATCCAATCAATCTCCCATAAAAACCCAAAAATTCCTTTCTTTGTTATCGCATATTGCATACCTGTTTGCGGATTTACTGCTGGAGCTGCACTTGTCTGCGCTGGTTGTGGTTGCAGTTGTGCTGGTTGCTGATACTGGGTAGCGTACGCCCCCTGCTGATAACCAGGTTGCTGTTGTCCTTGTTGTCCGTAATACTGCTGATTCCAAGCAGCTTGTCCGGGATCACTTTGCTGATGACCTAAAACCGCAGCATAATTGTTATACAATTATTGTATTACGTGCACCTTTTTTATCCAGTAACAAAATCTCTTCATATCCAAACCAAAAGTGGTGTTCCATTGCGCTCCTGCTTGGCCACCAATGCCAACGCCAGCAAATTGTGCGTTACCATTACCATATCCTTGAGAAGCACTTGATACAGTGTTATGTCCAACTACAAATGCATCACCACCAGCTCCTGGACCACCCTGTCCATGAAACTGTGGTACTGGCGTTCCTGGAGCAATATCACCAACCTAAAAAAACTTTTTTTTCAGAGTCCTTTAACTATGATTTAATCAGTGTAGCATGTGTATGACATTGGGATACACATGCTACACTGATTAAAGACAATCCTCCTTCCAAATAATGAATTTCATAGAAAGGTAGCAGGATTAAGGAAAAATTTCTGGAATGAAATACCTTGATACGAATAATATGTTGTGCATGATGGATTTGATAAGGTGTTCCTTTTATAATAAAAACTTTCTCGGATGCATTCGGCGGCGGATCCCGTGATAATTCAACATGTGCTCCACTTTCCGCACATATCTTAAAAGAGTTCTGGAAGTCTACGATGTCAATCAGTTATTCAGTTACCTATGAAATTTATAAATAAGTCTATTATTCATATCACACAAGCGCCACAGTTTATTTATGCAGTGTGTCTGAGAAAATAACTAAGAAAGACCTGAGTCCCAAACAAAAAAAAAACAACTGAACATATTACATACATCAATCATCACAACATAACCAAATTATTCATTTTTCTTTGAAAGATGAACGCAAAATGAAAAGAAGAAAAAGCATAAATGCATTGATATTGAAAAGACAGAAATGATCTGTTATTAAAAAAACTACGGAAAGAACAAAGATTACCTGTTTAATAGTTTCTCCTCCTTTACCAATTACCAATCCCGTTTTGTTCGATGGAACGTGCATGTAGAACATCTCCGCACCACCTGCAGCACCACTCTTTTTGACGAGTTCGGAAATGAACTGCGTCGCTTTTGCAATCTGTTCAGCAGTGCCCTGAATGACAGCACATCGTTCTTGCGCTGTCTGATCATCTGCAATAAATCGATATGCAAAACTTCCCAGTTTTCATCTTCCTTTGCTTTAGTAGTAAATGGAATACGTTTTATCACTTCACATAAAATGCTTTCCAGAGAACAGATTGAAAATTTGAATACCAGGAAAATAATACATTATTGCCCTAATTAAGAGTTAAAAAACAAACCATCAGGTTTAAACTGGATTTTAGCTCCTGATTCAGCAGCAAGACGCTTAATCGTCTCTCCACCTTTTCCAATAATCATTCCAACCGAAGCACGAGGAACAATTACCTAAAATACAGAAGTTGTATTATCAGTAAAACAGGTGGATGCTGTCGCATTATAAACTCACTTAATTGCCATTAAACCAGCCGGAAAATAAAAAATCTTACTTCGCCAATCGAACGCTGTCCACCGCTCATTCCGAATGATCCAGGGAAACCAAAATGTCCAGGCGGATGGTCTTCACGCGATTGCAAAATTTCTTCAACCATTCTTCGAGCATTCTCTACTTTTTCAGGATCACCAGTAATACGCAAAGGTTTTGGTTGTCCTCCACTTTCTTGGTTTTCTTGTATCATAACCATTTTAACACCAGTTTGCTCCTGAAATATAATAATAGGTGCAAAAATCGAAAGTAATCCACGAAGATTATAAGATCAATAATGTCAAACATTTTTATTAGCGCACCTGAATATTTTTGATTGTTTCTCCTCCTTTTCCAATTACGAGACCACATTTTGCACCAGGAATAAACATCTCTTGAGTTATTTGACGGCCAGTGCCAACAGGTATACCACCATCAAAATGGCCTGCTCGGTTCGGCGGAGGACGATTTCCTGCTCGAGCTATTACCTGAAACCAAGCACAGAAATTACATCATTATAACTATACTTTATAAATATGTTACTGTAATACCTTGTAACTCCTTCTACTTTCAAAATCTTCAAGAAAAAAAAAAATAGAACAGCATTAAAATGTAGACTAATTTAGTAACAGTACTGCACAGTGCTAAATTTTCAAAGTTCGATAAAAAACGCAAAATACTAT